TCCATTAAAATTTTTTTGTGCTACATCGTGCCGAAATTTGTTCCGAGCCCTTGCCTATATCGAAGCAGATAAATTAATTCAGTTCCAATAAAATGAGTAGCCCGATAAAATAACTTTAGCCGGGAGACAAAGCAAACATTTTTACAGAATTCAAGGCAGCGCGGATGAAATTGAATAGATATTCCTCTCCAACGAAACGTCGATGTAGTGGAGAACAGCTGACCATCTGCAACTTGATTAAAAACTGATCGTCGTCGTTTCTCTAATATACAGGATAGTGTAGGACTTTTGTAATTAGGGATACACCGAGAACTCGCTTTGTACCCGGTACTGAGTATACTCGGCCCATTTTGCCGAGTACCCAAGTATTTAATTACTCGGACGGGCCATCACTCGATCTAAACGCAAGACATTCGATAGTCTAATCATATTACACGAAAATGCCCTTAGTTTGCGAAATAATTGTAAAGTATGCAAGTTGCTCAAGGTGGTATTTAATTCATGGACGCATAAAATGGGTACACCAAAATTCAATCGAAAGTGTTGGCAGGAACGAGAAAACTCTAGAAATATGATTTTAAGGTCTTCATGAGACCCACAGAATGACACCACACATAAAAAGGTCGGACTAATAGTAAAAAAGTTATGTCCGAAAGATGCAGGTTTTAGCACTTGTTGGTAATGCGACGATAGTTTCACGCAGATAGTTGAAATTCTTCAAATTCATAGGCTTCGTACTTCTAACTAACGATAACAAAATTGGTGTCGATTGGTCAAGTAGTTTTGAGAATTTCTAGTTGTTTGTCTTTTTCGTTTTTCGCATAAAATAATAATTATCTTTCGGAATAGTTTGAAATTCATGTTGGCAAGGTAAACTCGTGTATTTTGCTATAAAATGCTCTTTGAACGAACCCTGTATATTGCTCAGTAAACTAGTAATGATGGCCGGAAGACAGGCAATGATAAAAAAATCTAAGCTCATATACTTTTCCCTAAACTCCCATATAATATATTTTTCGATAAATTAATTCACCACTGCTACATGTTTTCTCATAAAAAAACCGGTCTATTAAGCAGCTTCCACGTCAGTTTAAATTGAAGCCACGTACCTTTTTGCATTTTTTATTTATTGTTTTATCTTTCATAATTATGAAAGAACAAAACAATTAAACAAAGTGGACAAAATGCAGTAGTTCAAAAAGGTTTAGACGCTTCCAAAGCTGAAATTGCATCCACCACAACAGCCAGAAGGTGAAGATTTCTAAGCCAGGGTTTAAATTCGATGTTCGTGCTGATCATGGTAATTGATTCTATTTGGTAAGTTTTCAAAAGTTAAACAGCAACAACAAAAAGGTAGGTTTAAGATGTCGAATGTATATACCTTTTGTCTTACAAGGGAGTTTTTCTTGTAATAGGAAGGATTGAAAAGTATACAGGGTGACTTCGAAGTTGAGTCATTTATTTTAACAGTGAGTAGATCTGATCAAAAGAAATGTTTTTTTCCTTTACCATTTTTCTGGTAAAATTAAAGTAACAAAGTTATAGCCCTTTGGAAGTTTGAGTACTGCCCTGTCTCAATAATAATATGTTCGTGTTTGGCGACAACGGATATAATCCGCCTGACCGGTTCATCGCATCGGAAACAAAAAAGCGAAAGAATTTGAAACGTTTATCACGATGTTTTTCGTCAGTCGATAACGCGTTAGTGAATAAATAGTAAGTGTTTGTTGCGTGGCTCAAACGAAATCAAAAATGGCACATGTTTACGAAAATGCCGAACTTGTGGACATGATTCTTATTTACGGGGGGGCAGTCTTTACAAAATGCTCCCGGATGCATCACGGATTTATGCGAATCGGTTTCCCAATCGAGTGCAACCAACCCCTCGTGCCTTTGTTAATGTAGTACAAAGTGCTCGTGAATCAGGTGACTTAAGACCTCACAGGTCAGGGCATGCTGCTCCAATACCGCACGATCAAATACAGGTCCGCACTGAAATACTTGTCGGGACGATACTTTATTAAACAAGGTAACATTTTTTTTTTATTTATTTTTTTATTTTTACACACATATTTTGGTTTATCTTCCTTCTACAATCATTATCTGAAAATTAATGACTCAACTTCAAAGTCACCCTGTATATATAAACTAGCACTACAGGGCTAGTAGGCCCGTTGCTTGATTGGTGATCCTTCGCCATTCTTCTCTATTTATTGCTATTCTTTCCCAATCATTTATTTTGAATTTCCTCGAATTATCTTTCACCTCAGTTTTACGCCTCGTCCTGGGTGTCTGCCTCTTCTTTTCTTCCCTCCTATTTAATAGGTAAGCAGTGCCTTTGGTAATCTATGTTCTGCCATTCTTTGCACGTGTCAAAACCACCTCAACCTCTGAGCTTTTATGACCGCCGTTATGTCGGACTCTTTCAACAGTTCTTTCAACTCATCATTTGTTATCGTGTCCACGTGCCATCATCGCATACCTCCAGGTTTGCTTGTCCTGCCTTTGTTATCGTCCATGTTTCACATACACACCTGACCACCGACATTATTAGCGTTTTGTAGATCCTGATTTTAGCTCCCCTGGATATAATTTTGCTTTTCATTACTGCATTTAGCGCATATATGGCACGATTTTCGGCCATCGTTCTTTTTTGTATTTCCTCTTTGTTGCCCGACTGTACCCAAGTAGTCAAACGTATAGTATGTACTTTTTCAAACTTATACATTTCTCCTTTTGTTGTGGTTATTATTAAGTAAGGATTGAAAAGTACATTAGATATCAATGTTACAAATATGTAGTACTCTGTTCTAGTTCAATAACATTGCTGCACTCGCAAAAAGTTGTCTTTGTCTTTGAGGTGTGTTGATTTCTTGACAAAGTAACCCGCAAGAGTACTCGGACGAGTACCCGGTCCTCGGTATTCGAAACTAATGCCGGCCACACACTATCAGGTAGACCTGACAGATACGCCTGAACAGTTACCCCTGTCATGTCGTCGTCCATAACACGAAGTGGCGTATCTCATTTTTTCCAATTTTACAGGAGAGCGTTTTAAACATTTTCACGAGATTTGAGTTGTTGCTGACAAAAAGGTGTTATTGCTAGATAATTGAATTTGTGGGTGTATCTGCTTATGTCTACAAGCTTTTCGAAAATGAGCAGCGATTAACCCATTTTTCATTTTATGTGTTCAAAATTTCCAAAAAAAAGTAGATACGTCTTTTTGTGAAATGGAAGGGTGATAATTAATAGATTAAAAACTTAGTTACATCCGTGTTATATTAAGTAACGAAAAATCAAAACACATAAAATTTAAAGAAAAAATGTCTTATTACAAGACAAAATGGTTGCAAAAACGGGGAGAGTGAATATTATGGCGAAATAAGTACCCGCAGTATCTAAAAGTATTTAACTCCCTATACAAGTTAAATATGGCAGCACAAACAAAATACTCATATAGCATATCTTGTTATCTTTGGCATTATATCAGAAGGCATTCCCAGACTGGGGTGGTTTTGTAAGTTCACCAGGATGTCCATCTCCTCCATAATGAGTGATTATACCATTTGCCACATGATTTAGTCCATTGATTCCCAAAGTGGTCTATATCGATCCCTAGGAGTCTATGACAACCTGCGAAAAAAAATTTGGGGGACCATGAAATGAATATGGGTGTCCACGATAGTGGATCTCAACACATACACTGGTAGTACCTATTTACTTACATCATACTATCTTATAATATCGAAACATATACATTATTTATAAAAGTACCTATGAAGTAAAGAATTTATTATATATATTATATATATATATATATATATATATATATTTATTATATATGTTGTTATTATAATTGCGTAAGTTGTAGGATGTTGGTATTCGCTTTGTGGTCGCAATACATTTTGAACTTGTAAAAGCTGAGAGTCGCAGTCTCAGAGCTTCGCTACCTTGCACGGACTTGTTCAATTCGTCACTCTATAAATACGAATGTGGGACAAATACGTTTATTCGTTTCCTGGATCTTGAAAAGGAAAGTGCTAAGAAAATACTTTAAAAAATATCGGAGAGAAGTTAATTTTGCCAGCCGCTGAAGAGGTTTCAAAAACTGTTTTACACAAACCTGCATCTGATATCGATAAAAGAATTCCCTTAAGCAACAATACTGTTGAAAGACGTATTGATGAAATGAGTTCTGATATTGAAAGCTTCTTATGTAATTATTTGCAAACGACCCATTTCTCTATACAACTGGACGAGTCAACTTTACCTGATAATGCAGGATTATTATTGGCATATGTTCGTTTTATTATGAATGAAGAAATCTACGAAGAACTGCTCTTCGCAAGAACTTTGATCACCGACACTAAAGGTGAATCAATATTTCATGTTTTGAAGGATTACTTCATTGAAAAAGCAATTCCTTTATCAAATATAATATCAGTAGCTACAGATGGAGCACCTGCCATGGTTGGACGTTATCGTGGATTTATAAGCTATTTAAAACAAAATGTGTCAGGGGTGTTAGCAATACATTGTGTCATCCATCGACAACATTTAGTTGCTAAAAATTTGAGTGTTAGATTGCATGAATCACTTCATTTAGTCATTGATGCAGTAAACCGAATCCGAAGCAACGCGTTGAATACGCGGTTATTTGCGCAGTTGTGTGAAGAAAATGACGAACACTTTCATCAATTACTCCTTCACACTGGAGGCTTATGTTTGACAAGATTTTTTGCACTTTTTGAGACTATTTTAGAATTTCTGGATACTAAAGATAAAATTTTAAAAGAAAATTTAATGAAGAGGAAAACAGTCATCGCCTATTTAACAGATTTGTTTACAAAATTCAATATGGTTAATTTGGAATTACAAGACGACAGTTTAAATTTGATTAAAACAAGTCCATCTTATCAGCGTTTCTTGCCAGAGTTAAACTAATGAAGCAAAATATTGGACGGGGCGAATTTTCTCAGTTCCCCAATTTGTCACAGACAAGCTGCCAGGAAGACGACGTTTCAACTTACGTTCAACATTTAAATGCCCATTCAGATTTTGAATCTAGGTTTGAGGATATTTTGACTATGGTAATACCATCGTGGATAATTAATCCATATAGTGACATAGAAGAAACGAATGTCATAATACAAGAGGAACTGACTGAACTAAGTACAAACGAAGAACTTAAGGTTCAGTTTAAAAATGGATATCAGCAATTCTGGCTGCAAAACAACATACCCGTTACTTATCCCGTATTATCGAATATAGCGAGGAAATTTTTCTGAAAATTCAAGGATAGGTACACACTAAAATTCGTTAATTTTTTGCCTATTTTTAGATAACTTAAACGTATAAGAAGCAGAATTTAATCAAACTACCAGTGAAATTATTATAGAACATACGTTTATGTTATAATTAATAAACAAACTCGCTTATTGTACTATTTTAAGTAAAAAACTTTTTCTTTATTGTTTTCACTTTTTTTTATTTTATCTCTCTTATTTTTTTTCAATGCGGGCACTTATTCCCAATGCGGGCACTTATTGGTCAGGCACCTGTTTATTTAATGTTACGTATATTTTACATAACAGATACAAAATTTTATTTTGTGTAGTTTTAATTTAAATTCAATTAATACATGTATAAATTAACATGTATTTTTACTTTAAGTTTTTAGCACTAAACTTTACTACAGTTAGAAATTTACAGGAAATCAATATCAGGTAAGTAGGGGGTCTACCCAATACGGAAAAACATGGCAAGGGGTCTACGACACAAAAAAGTTTGGGGAACTCTGATTTAGTCTATAAGATGTCCTTCTTTCCTCGCCTTCCAGGTTTATGTGCAAGGCAGGTAAATTGGGAAAGACCATAGCTGCAGTTGGTGGTACGAGAGACACAAGTGATCAACGTACAAGCTTCTCTCTATATTGCGCTCAGTTTGGCTTGGACAGTTCTTTGTGCTGCCTTGCCCCACCAAGCTACAGATCCATAGGTTATCATAGATCTAATGACCATGGTATAAAGCCAAAACATTTGTTTGGGCTTCATTCCTCAGACCCTTCGGCAGTTCCATAGCGAGATCCTTGCCTTCTGAAGGACTGCTTCCAGATGCGTGTAGTGTTTTATCTAAGGTTGTTCCTGGATATTTCGCCTCTTTTTAGCTAGTATTCTACGTGTTTTCAACGCTGGCTCAGACAAATGCGCGTCATCTGAACTTAGTCTAACGTATTCCACCTGGAGATAGTCCGCTGTCCACAAAATTATGAAGCAGAATAATTGAGACGCCGACTTCTATGAGTACTTGTCACAGCTCCATCTATGAGACACTAACATTTTCAAAGTAGATCTTTAGTTATTGCGAAGTTGAGAGACATAGCTGTAACAGTTTCTAATAGATGGCGATACCGCCTTTCATATCAATTTTTATATGTTTTAGACGCAGGAATATACCGGGTGGTCCACCTATCGTTTTTTTTTGAGTTTCTGGTTTTTTGGGATATGTCAAGACTTATTTCGCATCTGATTTGACAGAACATCAGTCATATCATTCCGATTAACGAAAATGGTTGTGTATTCGCTTGAACAACGCTGGGAAATATTAAAACAATATTTCGAAAGTGGTGGTAATGTTGCAGATTGTGTCCGAAAATTACGTGCAAAAATGGGAAGAAATGAAGCACCGTCAGCACCGTATGTGAGGTATTTTGTGCAAAAAGTTCGTGAAAGTGGTCTTCTTATTGACAAACCAACACGTGAAAGACCGAAAACGGTGCGTACACCCGAGAATATCGATGCTGTAGCTGAGAGTGTGGCAGAGTCTCCAGGCACATCAACGCGCCAACGTTCTCAACAATTGAACATTTCACGCACATCATTAGGTCGAATTTTGCATAAAGACCTTGGTATGAAGGCGTACAAAGTTCAATTAGTTCAGCAATTGAAGCCAACTGACCATCCAATGCGTTTCCGCTTCGCTTCATGGGCCTGCAATCAACTTGATGAAGATGTTGATTTTGGTCGAAAAATCATCTTTTCAGATGAAGCGCATTTTCATCTTGGCGGCTATGTTAATAAGCAAAACTGCCGCATTTGGGGTTCAGAGAACCCACACGCAATCGAAGAAAAGCCAATGCATCCAGAACGAGTGACTGTTTGGTGCGGATTTTGGGCTGGTGGCATCATTGGCCCATTTTTCTTTGAAAATGAAGCCGGAGCAGCAGTTACTGTGAATGGTGAGCGTTACCGTACCATGATAAATGAATTTTTCTTTCCACAAATTCAAGATATTGATGTCGGTAACATCTGGTTTCAACAAGACGGTGCTCCGTGTCACACAGCAAACGCTACGATTGCTCTTCTGCGAAGTGTTTTCGGTGATCGCATTATCAGCCGAAATTCTGATGTTGTTTGGCCGCCTCGGAGCTGTGATTTGACCCCATTAGATTATTATTTATGGGGTGCCATTAAAGACCAGTGTTATGCCAACAAACCAGCAACAATTGGCGAAATAACAGAGAACCTACGCGCTGCCATTGCTGAAATACAGCCACATACGATTGAAAATGTGGTCAAAAATTGGACTGACCGTATGGGCTACTGCAAAGCCAGCCGCGGCAGTCATTTAAATGAAGTTGTATTCCATACTTAATCGGAAGGATTGTACTTTCAAATAAAAAAAAATTTTGGAAAAATATTTAGTAGTTTTTTTTATAGCATTTTTAAAAAAAAATTTAAATGGACCACCCAGTAGTATTAAGTTAGCTATCTACAGGTATAATATGTTAAAGTCAGGAGCCCTTTTATACAACTGAATATTTTCGTTTTCTGGACAATTTTTCTCTAATATTTTTTAGACCACTGATTTGGCGGAGTAAGGGATTGCACTGTTCAATACCTCTGCCACAATAATTCCCAACAAGAAATGAATAACGCTGTATGCGATTGGCCAAGCCGGAAGAATTAAAGCTGAAATCGCAATATTTCAATCTTTAATCTCGCAGTGAGAGCAGATTTGTTGACGCGGTCAAATTTGCAAAGTATGAAAAATGAAGGGAAAAAAGCGAATGTATGCGGAATCACGACTTCGCGTTAAAAGTGTCGAGCGAGCAAGAACGCTAAGGGATAATCAGAATGAAATAAGAGGGTTCGTAAGCGGGCACAGTTCGATTTATTGTAATATTCAAGTACCGCGAGACGCAACTGATTTTCTGGAAGACAAAAAGTGGGGCGTTAGTTAGCGGTTATATGCAGGGAGTTCATTTGAGAGCTTCCTGCCAAGGATTTATTGAAAATCACTGACGAAAACAAAAAACACCGAGACCCGTCAAAGGATTTGTCAAGGCGGACAACTTTTTAACCAAAAACTACTTCACCCCCTCTCACCCTCAGCCCCCCATGGTCATTCCCTTGAAAATTCTAAATAACAAGGGGTATCGAGTGATAGCTTTTTTTAAAGATCTTTCAAAGTCTTTTATATTTACGTTAGATTTTTTAAGATCCGTCGATTCGTTTTTGAGAAAATCAGAAATATCTTTATTCATCTTAATTTGTTCAGATTGAAAACAAAATCACACGAAACTATCACTTTTTAATTCAATAAGTATTGCTCGTTAGGGTTTGCCAAATCTACAACTCGTTCATAATTTAAAACGAAAACTACCAACCCAAACAGCAATTCGGAAGACTAGACGTGGCAACAACCAAATAACAACCCGATTTTCCGCCTATCTTCTATCAACACAGATATCCTGGGCAATCTGTATTTATTGTTATACCTGTTTAGTTATTTGTTGCTAAGGGGAACAAAGAACTTAATTTGCTGTCAGTTACCTTTGTGACAATCTTTGGATAGTGAAAATTAATTTTACTTCCAAAATGGCTTACACATTAGCTGAATGGGTTGGAAATGATACGAATTTATGATGCCCAAAATCAGTGTACTCGGCAAACTGCCATCACGTTTAACGCCAGACATCCGGGTATGTTTTAGACCTTGATACTAAATTTACTCAAACTGGATCTGTTGCAAATAAAAAACGTGATCATCTGGGAGTTTTGGATTAAGCCGCTCAAGTTGCAGTTTTGGTTACATTTTGGAATAAATCCTATTGCTTCATTACGCAAAATTGTTGCTGGGTCTAGTATTTCATTAGGCTCTGTATACACAGTTACTAACAAACTCCATAGACTTCATCCATTCAAAATGAAAATATTGCAAGTGTTAACCAAAGATGATTTCCATAGGCGAGTTGAGTTTTGTGAACAAATGACTGGAGCGATTAATGATAATACCATTCATGTAAAGAATATCTGCTTCAGTGATGAATGCTCATTTTATCCAAACGGATTTGTTAATAACCATAACTGTAGCTATTGGAGCAGTGAAACTCCTTATGCTTTTGTAGAAGGGCATACTCAGTACCCCCAAAAAATTAATGTAGGTGCAGGTATTTTAGGGAACAAGGTGATTGGGCCATTGTTTATTAATGGAAATTTGAATGGAGACATTTATTTGGATCTGTCGGAACACTGACCATTGAAAACCAAATCGAAGAGGATGGAAGCCATGTAGTTTGTGAGGCTGAAATATATTTCCAGTAATACGGCGCTCCTTCTCACTATGTTCGTCCGGTTCGGCAATGGCTAGACGACGAGTTTCCAGATAAATGGATAGGGCGAAGAGGACCTATATATAGAATGGCCTGATAGATCTCCTGATTTGTCGTCGTTAGAATTATTTCTATGGGGCCATTTTAAATCTATTGTGTTTACTCCCCAGCCTGAAGGTTTGGATGAACTTCGTCAACGCATCATCGAAACCTGCCATTATATCCCACAACATGTTTTTGAAAATGTCCTTCAGGAATTTGAACATCGTCTACAACATTGTTTGGCCAATAACGGGCAACATTTTGCACACTTATTGAAACAAAAAGTGATATTTTGGTGTGTTTTTGTTTTCTTTCTGAAAAAATTAGGATAAATAAAGATTTGTCTAATTTTCTTGAAAACGAATTGACCGATTTTAAAAAATGAAATGAAAATTTTAAGCGGATGACCCTGGAAAAGAGGGTGAAAGAGGGTGAAGTAGTTTTTTTAAAAAGTTTTTCCCCCTGGTGGGAAGTTTTCATGCGAACACCCTTTAATAACTTTCATTGCCTGCTAAAAAAGACTCAGATTCACCTATTCTAGGTGAGAAAGGTAAGTCAAAATGGAACTACGTTAAATTATGATTCTGATTCTTATATGTAATAATAGTAATATTATATATAATAATAATAATA